TGGGTTCTAATTATATTTCTAAGCATCCAGCCATTACTGTAAGAGACATATAATGAGAAATAACCAATTTTACAGAAAACTTAGCGTACTAAAATAGTACATATTTCAACTTGTTTATAAGAAATACTCCCAGTGAGACTGGAGAGAGAGTTTTATTTTCACATACTGTAAACCAACAGGGAAAAAAAGCCGAGGAGACTTCCTCCTACTTCTTCATTAAATATATTTACGTGTGTAAGTCACACAGTGCTGCTTTTATATAAAAGCGCTGCAAGCTCACATGCCTAATGCTCAATTTCACACTGGACAAAACCAAAGCGATCTATGCAGCCATTCATACGTGCACAGATAGAGCGAGTGCCAAATACAAAACCCCACACATCATACAGCACTACTGTGCACTTCCCAAACTCCCAAAAACTGTGCCAACTCCTAATATACACCTTAATGTTCAGTACACATTTTCTTCCCCGCAAAACATGGGCATTTAAAGTGGGGGGGATGTTGGGTTTTTTGGAGGGTTGTTTTTTGGCTTTGGCGTTTTTATTAACCCAGAGGAGCCTGTTCTCTCCCTTCCACCCCAACCTTTTCTCACAGGAGAAAAAGTCAGGTGGAGCAGCTCGACAGCTACAACTCTCCTGTCCCAACTCTTTCTCGGGAAAAAGAAACAAATCTCATATTTCTCTAGCCTGGGCAGCAGCTCCCTAAACTTCACTCTCGTTCTGCCCAGAATGTGCACACACTGAAGATATCTTTGCCAGCAGTCTTTATACGTGCTTCTCACCAAGAAAAGGAACTGCTGAAGAAGGACCAAGAGGTCCCTGCTGGGGACTGAGCACTCTACTCCAGAGCAGCCCTTTCCACCCTTTCCTGCTCGGCATTTCTGCTGTCACCAGTGAGACTCACCCTCTACACGGCCACTGACTGCTCCATCTTCTTGTGTTGCTGCTCTTCCTCCCTAGTGAACACACACTCCCTGCCTCTCCTGCTCCCAGTACCTCTGAGGTTAAGTTCCTAATAAATTCTGTGTGGTGAATTTTGCAATGAATCTTACGTGGGAGAAGGTGATCAACACTAAGGATAGCATTACCTATTTCCTGCACTTCAACTCGTACAGCTCTGTAGAGATTTACACAAGATTCACGTATGGCCACTATGTGAATGACCACAGACATCCCCTTTGGAGATGGTGTGAGTTCTCACCTTCTCTCGCACTCACACACAGAAACGCAAAATAAATGGAATAGAAATTGCAGCCCAAACTAAGAAAAAGTTCACAGTTACACTCAGCACTGCTACAGTTTCTTGCAAGCCACTAATGTTACAAGCCAAGCAGTGTCCTCTTGGAGCATCTTCCAGGTGTTCAGGAAGCAAAATAATGCATTCTTCCACCCTGCTCCATCCTTCCCCCTTTATCCCACAGGAGAAGCCGCTTGATGAGTTTACAAGGAGCTTCCCGTCTGCCTACTTGCTCCTGTTTTGAGAACCTGAAAGAGAGCTGGGTGCCACTGAATTCACAAAGAGAAGCAGGTTTTGCATTTCAATCTGGACAGGGAGCAGCACTGAGTGCTGTGGCTGTGCCTAGATCCTGGCAGGAGGAAGAGGCCCTGGGGTGCCCCTGGCCATGGGTCCCGCTCCATCCATCACTGGAGTGCCAATGGGGCACATACCCAGGACTTCTCACAGAAGAGGGCCAGCAAGGGCACCCCAGCAGAGCAGCGGCAGCAGGAACTGTCACCACACCGCACCCCACCACCGGAGCCCTGTGAGAGGGAGAAGGGGCTGGCGGCAAGGCCGCGGTGTACCTTCCTCCCCTCCCAAATGACACCCGTCCCCCTTCCAACAAAGCACCTGTGGCAGCGCACACGCGGGGCTGGCAGTCCCCAGAAAGCTCTCCCAACAGCCCATGAAGATCTTGCCCACCCCACATCCAGCACCACGTAACAGCCAGTCTCAATGACATGGAAACATGGGGGTGTGAAGAGGACTCAGCACTGGGAAAGCTCCATACCATGCCAACCCAGCCTGCCGCGAGGGCCACGAGTCTCCAGTACACCAGCTGCTCTTTTAGCTTACTGACACCTGTGTCACCTCGCAACGTCACACGTGTGCACCAAGGCCGAAGCGGAGGTGCCTGCACATTGGGAAAACAGCTAAGAAATCCAAACGTGTGTGGCTTCCTCGCCTTGCCCTCACACAGCAGCACTGCGCCATGCCTTCAGCACACAGCTACAGCTCCTCGCACCACCGACTTCACTGAAAGGGTTATCAGACATTGGAATGGGCTGCCCAAGGAGGTGGTTGAGGCACCATCCCTGGAGGTGTTCAAAAGACAGGTTGATGAAGTGCTGGGAGGTATGGTTTAGTGATGATGCTCCTTGTTTGTTGTGTGGGTGTCTATTTTTGTCAGTTAGGTTGACGGTTGGACAAGATGATCTTTAAGGTCCCTTCCAACCTAGAAGATTCTGTGATTCTCTGACAGGACTGCAGAGCCACTCTATGATGCCTCCTCACGTACATTAGGATTTAGCTTGGCCCTTCACTTATTACTGGCCCTTTCGAGGCTCCTAAGTAGGAGAATGGAGAAAATAAGATGCACATTTCTCACAAACAGCGTTTGACATCAGCCCTGCCAACCCCAACATGTCGGACGCGCTGTGTGCCCAGGCACTGCCCTGACAGCAGGGGTGCAGCCAGCGGCCCGTGCCCCCAGTTCAGCACGCGGGTCCTCCTCTGGGTGCCCCACACCAACACCAGTCATCCCAGTCCTCCCAGTGGCAGCAGCGACAGCCCTGACCCCGCTCCCCCCCGGCACACAGGCGAGCCCTGCTTCTCCCACCCAGAAAAACAACTGCAGGTGGAAGGGAAAGGGCTGGTGGAGGGAACCCCAGGGCAGCGCTCCCGAATTCCAGAGAGGGCAAGGGGCAGGCGCTGGAGAGGAGACCCCCGGACACCGGGGAGGGGGGGGACATGACACACACAGAACTTTCCCAATCCGGGCGGCCGCACCCCTTGGCTTCTCTGCCAAAGGGGCTGGCGACGGTGCCAGCTCCGGCCAGCGGCTTGTGCCGTGTCAACAAGCTCCGGGGGCTGCGAGGCCGCCGTCGCCGCGCCCCGTCCGACCGGCAGCCCCCGGAGCGGGGCCGGGGAGCGGGGGAGGCTGCGGCCGCCCGGGTAAGCGGGTGTCCCCGCTGCTCCGCCGGGATGTTTACGCGTCGGGCAGCGGCGAAGGGCGCCACTAACCCATCGCTCACCGCCGGCACCGGGAACCGCCCCACCCGCCGCAGGACGGACAGACGGACGCCGCGGACGGGCACCGCCGCTGCCACCCCGGGTTCGGCCAGGAGGAGGGCGGCCGCACCTCCCCTTCACCCCCCCGTCTCCGGCGCGTTTGGGGTGTATTTTCGCCGGCCGCAAAGCTGAGGGGGGAGCGGGATCCACCGGCACCGCCACTTCCGCGGGGAGCGCCGGGCTGCAGCCGGGCCGCCTCCCCCGCCCGGCGCGGCCCTTCCCCACCGCCTGCCTGCCTCCCTCCCTCCCTCCCTTGCTTCTTGTGAGGAAGAGCATGGGGAACGGGACACATTTGATGAACAGTCAGTGCCTCTGAAGCAAGAGGTGGTATTAGATAAGGATGAAGCATGCCCACTATGGGGAGGAGAGGCTCCCCGCCTCCCGCCGCTGCGCACCGCGGGGGGCGTCCCTGCGCGGGGGCGGGCGGTGCACTGCGCCCCCGCGGAAAGGGCGGCGGCGGTGACGGTACCCGGCGAGTGCGGGAAGGCGCTACGGAGCCATCCCGTTCCTCCGGCAGGCCGCGGGGAAAGTTGCCCTAGAAAGAGGTGGCGGCGCGGCTGGCTGCGCGCACGGGCGCGGAGCGGTTGCGCTGCCGAAGCGCGGTGAGCCCGCGGTGGGGCCGCAGGCTCCGATCCCCCCCTCGTAGTGGCACTACTTTGTGTGACTTAACCATTGCGCTTCCGTGCTCGGCACTTGGCAGCCGCTTTTAAACGATTTAATGTTTACTCTTTTTTTTTTTTCTTTTTTTTTTTTCCCCCGAATAATTTCCATCCCAGCCAATTTCTACCCCTCGGCTTTAAATACAGGAGAATTCAAAGAGTGCTCAGGCCCTTGGGTCATGGTGTTTTCGGTTTTTTCGGTTGGGGTTTGTTGGTTGGTGGTTTTATTTGTACGGGGAAAAGTGTTGACAGCGGGTCGCCTTCTGTCTGAAAGGGATTGCCTTTTAATTGAAAGCTGAAATTAAGTAAATGGTCCCGCCGCAGAAACTGCGCTCTGCGCACAGGAGCGAGGGCTTCGGTTTCGAGGCGGTTACGCTCCGTCGCACGTATGTAAAAAAAGCGGTGGAGCTGTTAAGAAACCACAAATGGCAATTCTATAGTGTGGCACCGGGGGTTTAAAAGGTTGGGATTTGAGGCTTAGCCTTTTTTTCCTATCCTCACCCCGCAGACGCCAGGCCCTGCACCGGGCAAGCGATAGATGACTCCAGACTTCTGCAAAAGTTAGAGTCGTATTTTGGGGAATGAGGGAAGAGGAGTGAGGAAAACGCTTTCCCTGGGATCTCCCTCTTCCCTCCCCTTCTGAATATTTGTCAGCCGTAGGGTTATGCGGGTGGGTTGGCATTTACATTAAATGATGGGGAAATTTAAAAGAGAATTAATTTTTTTTATTATTTTTTTTTAACTGTCTGAATCATATTTTAAAATAACAAAATAGCTGCCGTTTGGTAACGGCCGCCTGAGAACCTCTTTGCTTGTTTTGTGGCTTTTTGTTTTGTTTTGGGTTCTGCTGCTGCACAGCATCCAACACTGTGAAGGAACAGGAGTTTCCTTGGGAATCCAAGGAGGTGTGTACCCATCTTCTCAGGTGTTCCTGGAAATGCTTGTTTGCATTTTATCATGCTCTCAGGCGCTCAGGGAAAATTTCAGAGAGCAATTAATTCTCCCTGAACTGAAACGACTCTTTTATTTTGTTTTTTTTTTTTTTTTTTTTAATGCCGGTTAGGTTTCTGCTTTTCTCCCAGACGTGTAAAATAAAACTGTTCTTGCTTAGTTTCACTTTCGGCTTTCCCACTTCTCTTACCGGGTGGCAAATGTTACCAGCAAAGGGCACATCTGGAACAGCGTATTGGCTCCCATGGACCACTTCATGTTCATCCCTGAACATAGACTCCTGCTTTTTCAGGGAGCTGCTCTAGCCTTTACATCCCCCAACGTGTTTTTTTTTTTCGTTTTGTTTTTTTTTTTTCCAAATCACCAGCTTCTCCTTTAAGTGGTAAGCTAATGATATTTAACCCAGCGTGAAGTTTGCACGCCCGCATATAAGTAAATTACACGTTTCAATTCTGAACGTAAGTTGACTATTCTCACACAGGTGAGTGACTCCACTGGTGTTTTATTAAGGCCACTCCACGTGCGTGTATGTCTGCAGCTCCACAGAGAGGTGTTCACAGGACCACAGCCTGTACAAACAGCCTTATTCTTTCATCTTATTATTCAAGGTCCTTAAAAGCCTGAAAAGTTTTTACTTCTGTTAAAGTAACATCAAAGAGGAAAGTTGTTACAAAGCAGATACTGACTTTCCTTAACTGCCTGAATATTTGTTTGCATTTCGTGGTGTGTTTATGAGGATCTAAATGGGAAAAGCACTGCTGTAGTGCCTACAGTAAGGCACTGGTTGGTATAAAGACAAAATACACTTTTACTGCAGTTCGTTCTTGAATCTTTGGAAGAATGGCTACCTTACAATACGATGACTTTTTTTTTTCCTTTTTACCTTGCTGCTCACTAGATAACCAGAACAGTAAGTCTACCAGCCTGTGGCTACGGATACAGTTACTATAGTAACATTTATAAACACTAATTTCACTACACATGCAGAACTACTGCCTGCTACTGCAGAGGAGCAGCTTGGAAAGAAATCACTCTTCAACTACAAATAGGTAAGTCTTTCTCTTTTTTTTGTTTTCTTTTTTTTAGCTTTAAGCCTGATTTAAATTGTTGCTTACATTCTAACTTTGTGTTAATACTTATTTTTTTAAAAAAGAAAAGAAATTGACTTTTTCTTAAACTGCTTCAGTGACAGATAAAATATTACACTCACAATTTTGGCAAGAGTAAGGAATGAAAATACCATTTTCTGACTGGAAACATGGGACTATAACTTGGGCTGTGCTAACTTCAGTGAATGTAATTAGGCCATGACAGGCTACACCACATTAGGAAAGAAAAATATATTATTTGACATATGAGTGTATAAATGTTATTCTCAATTTCATATATCCAAGCTGGCTTTTTCTGTTGACTGAATTCACAAGCAAGTACGAATTAATTTTCTAATTGTAACGCATGCATAACTCCATTTGAGCACAACAGAATCACTCTGGTGCTTATTTTTCATCATTAAGCATGCTCTATGAAGATATTAAATTAGACTCAAACTCAAAAGCATTGTCTGAGAAACGTTTTTTTTTTTAAAAGTTTCTGTCCTTCGGGGCATGTCGGTGGGTTTGCACAGGTCGAACTGACTCTGAGGGCCGTGTTTAGCTGCCTGCCTGTGCTCCTTGGCACCCCAACTCAGGTGAGCGGCTGGCTGGTGTGGAGAAGGCATCAAATTAAGGCATCTGCATCAAATTAAGCAAGCCAGGAGCTTGGATGAGCCACAGGGGCCAGCTCCTGTGATTCCTGAGTCTCTCTGCGGCTGCTGGTAGCCCCGAGGAGGTGCTCCCAGGAGACCCGGCATCTCACGTTGGTCGCTCTCTACCAGATTCCCCGTGAAGGCCTGAAGGCCCGACAGGCTGGGGTGCAGGAGCGTGTGAGCTGTTCCAGCAGAGGAGGCGGTTGCACTCTTGATGCCAGAATGACAAAAGAGGAAATTAAAATGCAGTTTAGGGTGTGCCTGATGCCTGCGTATTACCTAGTTCTCATTTGGAGCTTTCGGGGCCTATCTCGGTCACAGAAGTTGAAGAATGAGTCAACTATAGCAGCCTCCTGCTGAATGCTGCCTCTCTGAGAGGGACCTCCCAGCCCCTGCCCCTCAACCCATGGAGTCAGAGCGAGTGTGCCCAACCCAGCCCTCTCTCCCTCTCCTTTTGTTCAAGATGGGACTTTCTTCCTGTTCTCCCACCTGGCTTTATTCTTGCCATTCAATGCAAATGTAAAAAGCAGGAGCTCTTGCCCCTCTAGGGAATTTCTCCGAGGACAAAATCCTATTGTGTCCTTTCATTAGCGCATTCCTTGTGGGTGAAGTGGCCTCCCTCTTGGCCACCACGCATTCAGGACTGCTATCAATATTTTATGAATCAGTGGAAGTATTAACAGTACAAAAGTTTTGTTTGCTATGCTGTCTCTAGCATCTTGTCAGCTTCCCATGGTGCTTACATGTGACTTTAATGATGCAGATGGCAGACCTTCCCACTAGGCCTTTGTCTGTTATAGGGAACCTCACACCCCAATCACCCAGTCTTTAAAAGAAACAAATGCAAAAAAAAAAAAAAAAAAAAAAAAAAGGGAAAAATATGTTGTTCTTTTGTTGTGTCTTACATCTTTGTCTGAATCACAGAATCACTTGCTAAAAAGTTGCAAAAACACTGGCCAGTTAAAACTGGTATTCCAATGTACTTTTGAGTGTTGTCTCATACAATAAGACCACATTTAAAAGGCTTTTAATTTCAAAAAAAAAAAAAAAAGAAAAAAATGGAGAAAATGTCATTACAAAACTCATGGTTGTTTCAGTAACCCAAACTCCTTGTTAGTGATGGAGGACTTGCCAGTTTTAATTCACTTCTGACCCAGAGGATGCTCTTCTTGACTGTAGTCAGAGTTTTGATTTAAGTGAGAAAACTAAAGGCTGGGCTCCCACAGCACAGGGCATTTGCTGCCTTTGTTGGTACAATGTGAGCTGTGTGTGCCAAGTTCAGAAGCTGCTTATTAATGTTATTTAGCCATCTGCAATCACTACATAAGCTTACACTGTGTTATTTCATCGTAGCGAGAGCTCTAGATTGCTTCATGCAAACGTGGGATGTGCTCTCTATTTTTCTCTTACCTTTTTTTCTATGCCTCTCCACAATTTTTTTTTTTGTTGTTAATTCCTAACATCTTTTTGTCATCTTTTTCTCTGTGTGATTCTGTGATCCTTCCTGCTACTTAAATACGTGGCAGAGGTCCCGGCGATTCTCTGGGACCCCACTCAGCGTGCTTTCCCTGGCTTTGCTGTGACAGTTTTGCTAACCACCCGGTCCCCATGTAGGGCAGGTCGGTCGGTGCTAGCAGCCTTACAGACCCCTGGGCAACTGGGGGAGGGAAGGGGCCTCCTTTCTGCTCCCTGCACATGAGTAGAAGCCAACCAGCACCCTTGATATGACACTGACTTAGATAATAAAACTCCCATGTGGAAAGTCCCTTTTATTTCTGTAAGATGAGGTTGCACTGGCCAAAGCACACCCAGTGGTGCAAGCCCACTCCTGAGCCTTCTCCCTGTCTGGGTGGGAGAGCACCTGGAAGTGCCAAGAATTACAGACTCAAGCACCATGGCTATCTGCTTGGCTAAACCACAGCAACTAAACAGGTTCAAACCCTCCATTTAGCCTAACTGCAGTTGAGGTGTGTGCAGCTGGAAAAAGCAGAGGAAGCCCAGGAGAACAGCTGTAACCCCAGGTGTGGGTTTGTGGGGTAGGGAAGGCAGGGTATCACTGGGAAGAAAGTGCAGTTACCTTATCTTCACCCATCTTCCACAGCTTTCTCCTTGTGGATCCCCAAAGCCTCGCATGTCCACCGTGCCTGGCCTCCCATGCTGACCCCAGTGGAATTGCCACCCCCCACTTGATGCTTCAAAGCCTGTCTGCATCCCCTTGCTCTGCCCCATGCAGGCACTTGGTGGGTTACAAACTGCCACCTCTGTCCCACCAAGACAGACCCAGCTACTGGTGCAGAATATGTGGGAAGAGCTGTTTTTGCCAGGTTTGGTTTTTTTTTGGTACTCCTGTTTCCCAGTTTGATGTTTCCTCCCGGCTGAGGAGCTGCACCTCTGCCCAAAAGGACAGTCTCACAAATTATAACTCTCACCTAAGAAGACCTAATAATGGGGACTGTTTCCACTTTATAGGATGACACAGAACCAGTGGGCCTGGAATCCCAAGATTCCAGTTTTGGACAACACTTAAGAAGATAAATGAGGCAACTAATTATCATAATTTATTCCATAATTATTTTAATTATTAATCACTTCCTTCTTTCTTGCCTATTATCAGGTCTAGAGGTGGGAGTGTTCCCAAGTCCTGAAGACAGGCTCTGCCCCTGGCATGCTCCTGTGACTCACCAGGTTCATCTTTATCTCTTCCCACACCTTTCCTAACAAGACTTTCTTGAAGCTGCATCATTGCTTCTGGGGATACAGTAAGTAGGCTACTACGCGCACCTAAGTTGACTCACTTGGGAGAAGATGTCCTGTTCCTCCTGCATCATTCCCTCTGCAGGTGGTTTTGGAGAACCAGGCGGCCAGCTGTGCTACAGCTGATGGCAGGTGTGGGACATGGCTGCTGGGTTAGCAAATGAGCTTGGCTTTTCAGGTGGAGAGTTTTTCAGAGGTCTTATATGAGTTTAAGAAAGGCTGCATAAGGGGTTTTACGTAAGATAAAAGTTCTTTGCTGCTTTGGCCAAAGCTGATCACGTAAAACTGGGACCTGGCAGGCAGCTCCTGCACAGGTGACAGTGCTTGCCTGTACCCTGGCTTGGGCTGTGCCACAGGGCACTGCACAGCTCCATCAAGCTTCACCATGGCACACGCTACAGCCCCACTGGCCACCTGTGGTGGCTCCTTGGCAGGGACCAGTCCTGGCGATGCCAAGAGTCCTCACCACGGTTTCTGTAGGCAGGTATGATGCATTGGCAAACAGTTTTCCAGGGGAGGTGCCACTACTGAACTGTGTGACAGGTGGAGGGAAGGGAAATGAGCCAGGAGGAGAGGAGCAGGGAGCCATATCGTGACATCACAAACATGTGGGAAAGGGGGGGACCAAGAGGGAAGCGCTGGCTGATGCATGAACAGAGGAATCTGCCCCATCCCTGGAGGTGTTCAGGCTGGATGGGGCTTGGAGCAACCTGGTCTGGTGGGAGGTGTCCCTGCCCATGGCAGGGGGTTGGAAATCGATGATCTCTAAGGTCCCTTTCAACCCAAACCATTCTCTGAAAGGCATGACAAGAAGTAAAGCGGGGAAGAAGGAAAAGGCAAGCGAGGAAGCGGGTGCTCATTCAGCAAGAATGCGCATCAGTGAAGGCTGTTGATACATATTAGCTGATAATAGCGTGACGGGACTGTGACCTCCATTTTACATCACACGGTGCTTCTCTGCCTCTTCCTGTCACCCGCGGGCAGGCAGGCATCTTCCCCTGCTGGTTTCAGCATCAGTAATAGTCACCCATTTTCTAAGACGACAAGTATGCAGCATATAGTAATAATAATATTTTTAAAAAAAAACAAAACAAAGCAAAACACAAATCTCAGAGGAAGGAGTTCAGGACTAGAGATTGTGTAAGTGCTGACGATGACAAAGGTAAGCGAGGAAGAAGCAGGTTCTGGGTGGAGATAGGAACGACGTGTGTCAGAGGGGGATGATGGGGTGTGGGACTCCTGTGTTTGGACATGAATCAGATCCTGGGACCTCGAAGCTCAAGTAATGACATCTTGACTAATTTTTTAAAAAAAGGAGACTGTAGTGCCAAACTGCAGAAACAGAAAATAAACTCACCTTGCGACATGACCAGCTCTGCCACAGTTGTGTCCCTCTTACAGGCAGGGCAGCGTACGATGGAGGGGTGAAGCAGCCTCCCTTCCCCAGCAGCAGGGCTAGGCACTGATCAAGAGGCTCTTCGTGTTGTCACAAACAGTAATATGATTTTTGCCCTTGAAAACACATAAAACCTCAAACTGTGGTTTGCTCCCCATTCTTCTATATCTTCTTTTTTTTTTTTAAATCCGCTTCTATTTTCAGCTCAGAACATTAAACAGCGCTGGGTTTGGGCTCCCTAAATAGGCACAGGGAAACTGCAGTGAGCTAGAAAACTGAATTTTATCTTTCACTCTCTGAGGCTGAGAGTGCTTTAGCTTCGTGTATTGTGTTGTCAGTATCTCACTGTTATCCTTTAACCTGACAGCAAAAAACTTGTGAGTCTCTATCTGATGAGGGAAATGCAAGGAGAGAAGGAAACGCAGACTAGTCTTTTTACTTCATAAGAGATCAACAAAGGAAATGTGTCCTTTTTTTATTTCATTTTTACAGGGTCTTCAGCTTTTAACATAGGCAGTGTATGCATGCTATAAAAAATTTAACATCAGGGCTGCCCTTTGAATAATTATAAGCAATGAGTACAATTGAAGAGTTATAGCATATCTTGTTCTGAATTATATGCATGAATTATTATGTATATTACCCTGGTTATATACACACTGTAATAAAATGGGACTGTTTTGGTGCTCCGAAGTTGTGATTTATTAGCACTTACACTCAGAGAGATATAAATATCCATAAAGTATGTTTGTTACAAATTAAGTTGACTGAGGTCAAAGTAACATTTTGTTGAAAGTTTTCAATTTCCTGTCTCTAATCCAAGGGGCTTTTATATATACTAAACATGAAATAGGTTCGTATTTCAAAGGCTGACAAAAAGCAGCTTACCAGATCTTCTGTATATATCAGTCCCAATTTTTCTCGTGCCTGAATGCATCATCACGATGACAGCAGTGAAAAGGCTTGTGCAATCTCACAGTCTCAAGTTCAAACTGCGCAGAATAAAGGGAAGGGAATCTGTACAAGCACCTATTTCCCTGCTATTTTAATCACGTGCCTCCTCATCTTGCCCCACTGAAGCGGTATGGCATTTCTAGGGGAGGCTGATGCTCACCTCTTGTGGCCAGATGGACTTTCCCATAACCCGGTCCTACAACAGATTGAGAGTCACCTACAAGCTCACCTCTGCCAGGACAAGGTATACTACAGTGTACTTAAAAAAACCCCTTAGGACGATCACCCCCTACTGAAGAGACCAATTCTAAAATTCTAAAAAGAAAATCTACCTCAGCTGATCAGAGGCATTTGATTCTTTAAGACATATTAAGACTAATTGGAGCTGGGGGATGTTGGGGCTTTGTCTTTTAATGCTCCTGTAATTCTCAAACAGTTGAAGGAATTTTGACAAACTTCCACCACAGGAAAAAGAAAAAAAGCATGCCTTGAAAAATCATGGAAATGCTTATAACCCAGAGGTGATGAACAGAAATAACGAGAGAGAAGAAAACATACTTCCCAGCTGAAATCCTGGAAGAGACAACAATTGAAAAATAGCCAGTTTAATGAGTGGCTGTGTCAAGTTTGAGTCCCAGAAAATAGATGGGGCAGGATGAAATTACCAAAGGCTACTCTTGTAACCATGCATTGGGATATTATCACTGCTAAACCACGGTTGGTTGTCCTGGTGGTGGATTAACAGGAATTACCAATGGTCACTGAAAGTCAGAGATCTCAGAGGAGAGAACAGAATAAAAACCTGTAATAGATCCATTTTTGTCTGATATTTCTCACACATACATACTAAGTGTTAAATAAACAAACTAAATAAAAACATACACTATGTTTTCATATTTAGAACAGATGATGTATAGGCTGGCAAGCTGAGTTTCTCACACGGTGTGAGGACTTTGTGTTACTATGGTATCTGTAGGTGTATGTTCTGTGCTGATCTGGGGGAGAGGATGTTCAGCAAGCAGCTGTAAGGCTTAGCTGCACATCACTTCATAGGACACAGCAGCCATTTGAACCATTGTAATTTCATCATTGCCTAAGCAATAGTGATGACTCCTCTGTATGTCATATATGTGTTCTCTTACCCATTTCAAATTGTAGGCACAATTATTAGTGTTGCTACCAATAGGGTGACCTCATGGTTTCAGTAACTTAGAACTCCAACAGATATTAACTGTTCATACTGACATTTTCCAAGCCTGAAGCAGAATAATTTGAAAAAGTTCCAGGCAATATGGTTTAGCTGTTTCTGAGAATATGATTTGAAAAAATATGTTAGTTTTGCTTGTATTAAACCAAAACGCTAGTAACTATTTTACAGAGAAGTTGTAGGATTGCCAGGTTTTAAACTAGGGCTTGGAAACCTGGCTGAGATGGCATCAGCCGTGCACCTTTTGCCAGTCTTGTAAATTTACCCGAATCAGAGCAAGTTGCAGTATTGATAAAGCAGCATCAGTTTGAGGGTGCGCAGTGGAGACACACCGGCGTGTAGGTGCTGGATTCAGGCAGTGCCCTCCCTACCACCTGGCCTCTGCCAGGAGTCCCTCACTAGGACTTACTCTCCAGCTCTGACTCTCGGGTTTGTAGCACCAGGAACCAGCCTGCAAATAGTCCTGTATTTCGTCCTGGCTCTCAGGACTCCCTTTGCTACCAGTGGGAGAAGACTGAAGGTGTTTTTATACGCACACATCCCCATCACCAGCAGTAGGAGCCGTATTTGGAAGTTCAAGAGAACGTGTGTGTGGAACGCAGAGTTCCAGCACTCAAGAAGTTCCTCAGCATCGAAGAGTAAGGAGACAGAGACTGGAGCAAGGAGCTGAAGAGGGAGAAAGGAGGTGCATGGGGACAGGGGGGAGAGATTAGCTTTGGCTGGGGAATGGGCAGAGAGGCTTGTGCTGATTAGACCCTGTGCCCTTGCAGCACCTGGCCTGGATTCCATATTTTCAGCCTCCTTGCTCTTCCACGAGCTCTGTTGCAAAGCGGGTCTTCTCCTTCCATCCTGCTGGCTGGCGAATGCAGAGGGTGCCTGCTGCTGATGGCAGGATTGTTTCCCACAGACCTAAAAGCTCAAACACTGCTTGGCCCATTTGATAATACTTCTGTTCTTCATTATGCTTTCTTGATTGAGAAACTGGCACATTCAAAATCCATCCTACATCAAAAGAACATGAGCATTGCAAAATCTAGCTCTTGTAAGCAAGAAAAACAATAGAATATTGTCCACATAAATGTAATTTATCTTCTGTGTGCCTAAATACAATGGTATAAAATAATGTAATTTTTTCCAGCTGGCTCCTAAAGGCCTCATAACTAAAACTGATGGCAGTGAGATTCAATTAGAGATACACCAATGCTTCTGGCCCTGTTTCCTATCTCCCATGTAGCACTGGCAGATTTTTTTTTTTACCTTAATCTCAAATATGCCCCCTTTTTTTTTTTTTTTAAAGTAGGAATTACACCCCACTGCCATGTCTGGAAAGTGATGAATAGATAAAGAAAAGCTGATGAACTGTAACTATGAAGTAGTCCCAAGAGTGTGAAGGCACAAGGCTATGATGCACTGAATCACAAGGAGGAAACAACTGACACCTCACTAGGTACAAGAATAATCTAAATTGTGTTATGAATTCTGTATTTCCAAACTTTTCACTTCTTGAATTCGCTGTGTTATTTATTTTTAACATAGTTATTAGTTATATAATTTCACATAGGTTTCCCCGTTTCTTGACCACGTACACATTAGTACACAAAGATGCAATTAGAGTTTAGGCTTCAGTAAGTGTTACCCAATATTAAAGTCCTGAAATATAAAAATATGAAAACTCTTAACTCATTCAACTCCTTTATAGAATAACATGGGAGAAAAATGTCACAGGATGAAGCAAACCCACCTGATTTTGAACATTCCAGAGCTGAGGAAGATGAGCTGGAGAAGACCACAATTGTACCCGAGGATGATTCCAAGCACATTTCAATCTTTTGCTCCGTGTGTCAACAAACAATAGACCCACACCACCTTTTTTATCATAAAAAAACCCACAAAGCCCTAACTTTGCTGGGCTTCGATAACCCACAAACAAAGACGGACAACAAAACACTTTTAGCTCAGAGACAGAAGGTAGTTTCAAAATTGACCAAGACCCCTAAATATTCTGAGACACATAGGCAGAAGATTGATTATTCATTTGAATTCCTTCTGGATAATAACACTCCTACATCATACTGTGATCTTGCTAATACTAACAATCCCAGTACTTTTAAGAAAGTAAATAATTCTTTAATAAAAGCATTATCAATTTGCCAAGACAAAAATTCCACATGGCAGGCAGGCATGGAGGACAGATTTATTGTGCTCGAGAACTATGGGAACAGGTCAGATACATGTTTTCTGGGGTTATTTGACGGCTCTGACGGTGCGACAGCTGCAGAAACAGTTGCAGCAGAGCTTCCCCTTCTATTTCTTGACCAGCTTTCTCAAATGGATTCCTCCTACATAAAGAGTAAGGACGAACAGCAAATTCTAGATTCTTTTGCCACAGTAATCAAGGCAGATTACAGGGAAAAAGAGAAGATTTTCTCTGATAAACCGGGCAACGCCAAGACCTGCAATACTTACGAGTGGATTCACAAAGCCTACGCCAAGTCCTTCTGGAGAATGGACAGACTTTTACGACTGGGAAGGAATGAGGATTCCAAAGTTCGCTGGAGCGGCTGTTCAGCAGTTACCTGTTTGGTGGAGAGAATCCCCAGTGAAGAGAGAGATGGCACCGAGGAAGAAGGAAAAAACCATTCTGGAAGCACCACACATAGTCCATTAACCAGGACACCCAAAGGTGCTGCTGGGTTGCTGCATATGGCTAACATAGGTATGTATGTTCCAAACCAGGATTTGGGGGGTTTTTCTCCACCCGATAAAAAGAGAAAAACTAAGCTAGAGATTTGTTAGCGGTAGATATTTGGAGATAAAAAGCTGCAATTGCTTTAACTTCACAATGTAAAGGAGACAAATTTCCCTTACAACTGGTATTGGTATCAAGCATTAAGTATTAAGCTTATCTAGTAAGTACCTTCAATATACTAATGCAAAAGACACAGTTAAGAAACATTCTATAATACACAATACAAAGTACACCCCTGTAAGAATAGTAAGGACAATTTTTCTTTTTTTTTTTAAATCAAGACATTTAAGGTGTCATCACTATAGTGCAGACACCCATAAATCTTCTGATTTTAGATCTGACAAACCCCTTCTATCAATAAAATATGTTTAAGATTTTTTTTTATTGTTTCATTGAGACCAAGTGCTACCACATTGTGCTCCCAGCAACCTGAAAACAAGATCTCTGTGTATCACCTGAATTAATTTCTGAAGCAGGAATTGGCTGTTACTTACTGCTGCTATGGAAGATCTATTCAGACCTGCTTCCTTATGAAGGAGAACCCTGCTTTGCCTTTCTAGTGCAGAAAATCAGTTATTAATTACAGTCAGAAACACTGATACATTCCTAACGCTTCTTCACCCAGCCCTGCTGCAGGCAACACTAGACAAAGCTCTCGCGCTTCTTAGCAACTCCGGTCATTGTGTTTTCCCACTTGGCAACTCTTAATCCCAGTTAAATTCTCTGGTACATAAGAGCCATAAGATTACAAGCAAGACACTGGTTTTCCCATAAAGTACACACGCAAAAATTACATAAAACCAGGGTGAATAGTTTCAAACAGATTTTGCTACAATTATTTTCTTCGGTGTCTTCCAGTCTCTGCTTGAAGCACGTACCCAGCACTATAACACTTCTCTATTACTCTCCCCAGCATTAGTGAGGAGCGTGCTAACACTGCAACTCTCCATCCTCCTCAGATGAGGGTATTCAAAAAACCTGTGAGACTTCTTTGTATGTCATTTGACTGAAAAAAATCAAGACAGTCAAAGATCAATAGGAAAAGGGAAAACCATTTAAGAGATTTCACTTATTCAGGAGGGGAAAAAAAAAAAGCAACAAAAAAACCCAAACCAAAACCATACTGCATATTTGGAAAAATTAATCCCAGACTTTTAAAAAAATAAGTAAAAATTTTTGCTTAACAATAATCCTCTGCTAGTCTGAGGAACACTACAAAGCACCTTGAACATGCACTGGCACTGAAATAAGTAACTGTGGTCTACCCTCTCCCTGTCCTCTCCTCTCTTCTCCCAATGCTTGTCGCTGTACCTGTAACTTTCTCTACCTCCAACAAGCATTTTTGCAGCCACCAGAACTTGACTGTTACTGGTATCAAAATTGGCAGTTTAGCACCAGCTCAAGTATTCTTGCAGGAGGTGCAGTCACAGCTTTAATGGGATACAGGAGTAACTCACATAAAGGTCGTGATGTTTTCAGAGCTACCAAATGCATTTGTTTTCACCTCACTGGGGAAGAAACCCAGTTTTACTACAACGAGCTTGAGAGGTCGGATGAAGGTAAGAAAATCTATGGTAGAGCACTCACCCAACCTAAGTCTTCTGGTTCTAGTTTTTCTGTCGGTTTCTCACATCTGCCTCCATCCTCCCCTCCCAGATGAGGTTTTATGCTGACCGCAATTAAAGATACCGTAAACTCAAGATCTGCTGATGAGTTAAGGCTTGAAGTTGATCAGAAAGATTTTGAAACACTTCTAAATGCACATTTATTTAAATCTAATACACTTAAATTTTCCACCAAATATATCACATCAAAGAAAAAGATTTGCACAACATCAATCTTCATTTCCCCCCAAGGAACATGTTCTTACAGAAACATAAACATGTTCCTTCAGTGCCAGGTAAGCAACTGAAGAGGATGGTCAGATATACGGAGCAGGAGATGCTGGTGGCATCGGCCAGCTTTATCTTCTTCATTTAGTCCCACATTGGTAGGCCAGCTAGTTTTTGTCAATTCTTTTGCCCTGCCTCTGGCTTGCAGGCTAGAGACTTGCATCCAAAAGCAACTAGATTTTCTTGCAGTCAAATTGTTTCCTGTGGGTTATATTACACCCTTTGTTAGGCTTATGGCTGGTGGTCTTACTCCAAGGGTTCAAAGGAAACTTTAGACAAACTTCTGGCTCTCTGTGGAAGGAGGCAGCAAGCACAAGGAAAAATTCACACAGCATTAACTTAAGGCATCTACATTCTGTAATCAATAAAAAAAAAAAGAGGTGTGTTCTTCAGTTTGATATCCTGAGTCATCTTCTAGAGAAATCCACCTTCACACAGAGCACACTTAGCTGTCTCCTACACTAGGCAATGCCCATACCACCCAAGAAATACAACTACTGTGTAAGCAGTGTCTACTTAGAAACACTTTTTGGGATTTGTGGCCTAGTCTCACCAGATGATATTAAAAATACATATAAATGAACACAACAGTGTCAGAAAAGCTACCATCCCACTCAAGTTCCTTCTGTGGGACATCACTTTTGCCCTTCTGCCAACACGTGGGAGCGGACCAATCATCTTCGCAACACAAAAAATGGTCTTCTCCCAGTGCAGCCACAGAGGACCTCAAACAATACATCACTGTTCCAGAGCTATTTTCCCTTAAGCTCTGCATTCGAGTCTGAAAAGACCAGTCACTCGCAGTGTTGCCATTTCTAACACTTTTCATTCTCACTCCACAGATTTCAAAAGTGTTGAGGGAAAGGTAAAGCACCTCATTCCTACTGGGGAATTCCTACTTCCCTAAAGGGAAGCTGTTAGTCCTCAACTTCTCATGCTGGCTGTGAGAACTCTTGCTCTCTGGGGGCCCTTAACTGAGGAAGAGATTTAAGGCATCATGTTAGTAAACTGCAAATTGGTATACTATGTCCAAATTATTTTCAGGTACTAGAAAATCTATACTGCTAAAAATAGTCTTAATCTGAAAGTTCTTGATTAATTCATTCAGCCATAACAACTTGAAACTACACAACCTCTTAGAAGAAAAAAAAAAAAAGAGTATTTGAGAAAAATATGCACTCTTACTTAAAAAAAAAAAACACTCAAGGTGCAACATTTCTATCGGACTGCACTACAAGCTGAATGAAATGTCACTTACAACTCCTCAGGAGAGTTTTGTTGCAGTCAGAAGAATAAGGTTCTGGAACAGTCTTCTGAATAACAGGAGGGAAAAAAAATGCAGAGAACTTTGCAGAAACAGATTTGTTGATGGACATATTGTTGCCTGTAGCACTAGATAATTGAAATATGACCTCAGTTTTTTTCCCAGTCCTTAGCAAAAGGCTAACTGGTAATGTAACAGCAATATCTTACAAAAAAAAATATCAGTACACAATAAATCAAAGTAACATCTTACTTCAATTTTAGGTAATGCACATGCAGTCTTATGTAAAAATGGGAAGAGTCACTGCCTCTCGAAAGAGCACAGCACTTCTAATGCAAGCGAGAGAAAACGCGTACTTCAGAACGGTGGAAACATCAGCACTAACGAACCAGACGGGTTAGTGGAGGGGCACCTGAGAACTACAAGGGGTCTTGGACATCACGGAGACCCAGTACTGAAAAGATCTGTTATACCCGTGCCTCACACCGTATCTGTCCTTATTGATGATACTTGTCAGTTTCTTATTTTAGCTTCTAACGGGCTTTGGGAGGTTTTGGATTACAATGAAGTACTTACATTAACTCTAACAACGTTCACTCATTATTTGAAAAGGTACGAATGTGTTCAACAAAACAGAGCTTCTCCATCTAAGTGTCAGTATTTGATGCCAACCACTGAAGACAACTTAAGTGACTCCAAGGCTATTACAGATCTGCAAGATGGAAGAGAGATACTGTATTCCAGTAAAGACATTTCTCTCACTGACTCAAAAGACAACCTGGAACAAAATAAACCAAAATGTTCCAGGAGGAACCATTTGCAAAGTGAAGATGGAGTTCCTAAGGAAACTGATGACCACAAAAATCAAGCTGATCCAGAACCATCTCTGTTCAGTAACAATGAGGTAAGTTCACAGAACAGAGAGATAAAACAGTCCAATTCTAGCACAAAAGGTGACTCTGAAGAACAGAAACAGTTTGAGGACAGAAATGTTGATCTATGTAATAGTTTTCAGCCACAGACTTCACTGCCAGAAGAAACAGAGAGTGACACTTACTGCGCGACAGGTCCAATCAGCACCCATAAAGAGCTGCAAAGGAATGTACTGGCAATAGGGTCTAAAGGCGTGGAAGAGCCCCCAGAAGACACAGAAGCATGTCTATCTAGTTATGACTCAGGGCCACACCTGGCAGGAAAAATGGACTCCAAAGTATTTTGTGACAAACTTGCAAGTTATGCTGGTCAAGAACTGCTAAAGACTGAATCACCAGTGGGTTCTAAACCACCTTCACCACAGTTTGAAGAGGACACAAAAACGTACTCATCCAATTGTGATTCACAATCTGCAGGAAGAGGTAGAGTCACCTCTGAGACGCTCTACGACAGCGCAGCAAGCTACATCAGCCAACAGCTGGTAAAGACTGCCCTAGCTGCAGGTTCCAGAGATAACATTACTGTTTTGATTGTACTTCTAAATGGATGCGATAAGATACCCGATTACCTCAACATCTAAAAATTTATCATAGGATAACTGGAGTGCCACAGTACATATAGTACAGCTTATATTTAGCTGTGTCATGAATTTACTTGTAATCATCTTAAATGCTGACCCATATAGTAAATCAGACATCTTGCCTGGAACTAAGCAAACGCAATAAAACCTTCTGAAACTCTCAGTAAGAAACAGTAATCAAAAATAATTTTTTTTTAAACCACTTTATTCAAACCTGAGCACCTCAATATAAAACTAAACACTGGTGAACTGTCATTTTCCTTGCTAAACCCAGATTACTGCAAATTTTAGATCTGCACAAGTAAGTTTCTGCTATCAGTTCAACATTTAAATAGACTAATTCATCTCTTCTGACACACTTGGTAGATTTCATATAATGAAAATAACTAAAAGAATTAGTGCAATATACTGGACAGATCAAAATAAAATGTACTTTGGAAAACAAAGTTGCAAAGTTCATTACTGACAGACAGCAGTACTTATGTTACAGATACAGGAGCATTGTTTATTACTGTTCTAGCCGTAAAGGAAGAACTTAGAACCCCCTTTGATTAGAGAGGAAAAAAGTTAGCCTTAAGTAACTGTACATTCTGTATACCTTTAAGCAACTCTTAAATATTACAGAAAGTATTAAACAAATGTAGACTACAATGCAGAGTACCTATTTACAGTACATTAATATCCAAATTTAAAATCAAGTTGGATGTACATAATTGTTAGTGCACTATTTTTTTCCATAGGGGAAAAACAAACTGTAATGGCCAGCAATGATCAAAACGAAGAAAGAACTCACAGACACCAAGTTTGTTGTTGTTTTACTTGAAGAGCTCTTACAGTTTGTAGAAGGAAAAAAATCCTAAGTCATAAAGTTGAATTTACTGGTCTGTACCCTCTGAACAGATTAGAAATGAAGTTAAACTTGATTTATCACTAATTTTTTTAGATATCTAACTGGGTTGATATAATTTACATACAGTGTACCAACTAAAACTCCACTTTCCTGCAAGCACAGAGTTCTTAAAATTGTTAATGCAAGTATTATTTGTAATTAAATTATTAAACTATGGAATGTATAACTAAACAGTAGATACCTGCAGAAACAACTGGTTGCATCAATACTGTGAATAAGTTTAAGTAATTTTTACGCCCTGTTTCTAAAAAGGTTTTAAAGCACAATTGAGAGTTATGAGAAGTCCCAATTCTATTCATTATAACAGTAATCAGTATTGAGGCTACAGGAACTGGCCAATTAGGTCCACAGAAAGTAGTTCTTCTACACCCCTAATGGTAAGTGATTTTTAAAACCTTTCAGCTGAAGGAAGTTTATTCCGATTCCATCTCTCCTCTACTGCTGAAACATTACAGCCAGTGACGGATACATGCATGTTAAAATTTTAGGTCAAAAGAAAACTGTATCATGAACTTGACTATTATCATAAGTCTCTTCGCTGTTTGGAAGCTGTACTGGGCCAGGTTAAGCACTCCAATCCCATGGTTATTAACAGTTAGGAAGCAGAAGAATATTCAGAACAGTTTAAAGCAATTGATGTTTTAGTTACTACAACATTGACTCTTGGGTGATTGCGTGGGTTCAGTAAGGTCTACTCCTCTTCCTCTGGTAGAGCTGGCTCCTGCATTCTGTGGTTCATTCTTGGGCAGTTTTTTTGCTATAAAATCAACAAGAAACAAGAGTTAAAACTGAGATTGAACTAAGATCAAATGACCTGAGTACACAGTTAACACTTTGTTAATCTATAAGCATATCAATGTAATCACTATAAAATCTGGTTTGATTCAGTGTGTTGATAATAAAAGAAGTTAAGACACTTAACTTCTTCATGATTAACTACCTTATCTATGATTTTCAAGAGCATTTTTGAAATGCATTAGTAACTTGAGCAGTAAAATGTATCTGCACAGGTATGCTATGCCAGTAAGTGACAGCTCTTGTGGGAATCCACCTACACAGAACAGGCTTTAAGATTGGGATGTTAATGCTAAAAGATACAGAAAGAATAAAAAAGGGACAAAACAGACAGAAATGGATCAAACTGCTGCCCAGCTATCTAGCCACAACAAGTATTTGCATACAACATATAAATCAGCCCACAGCACTAGATCAAGTCTCTCCTCTATTTTCCAAGCTGTCTTTTCTCTTCAGCTTTTATTAGTCAATTTACAGTGATAATTTCTTTGTTGTCCTTGTAGCTCCAAGGTACCTTTTTGGTGCTAATATGAAAAATAAGAGTGACAAATATTACCCTTCTGAGCAGTAGCTCCTCCCAGCTTTCTCTCCATCAGAAAATTGCTAAGTTCTAGGTAGAAGGACTTCCATGGGGCTGTCCTGCTCATGTTACTGGGACCCAACAACCACCCATTTCACATTCGGCTGCCTGCTTTGACTCCAAAGCAATTACCTTGACCAACTTTTAAAAGTTTTAGGAAAACTAATGAAATGCAACTGTAACGACCAGAAAACCAGCAGAGTACACACCAACAAGATATGTTGTGGTGCTAGATCTCAGGATGCTAGGTAACCTCATCAAGGCTCCCCTTCCAACAAAAGGTTAGATCAGACGATATTTTGAGATCCCTTCCAGCCTGGGCTGTTCTACAATTCTGTGATAGAACCCAAGGTTTCATGTAATACTACATTGCTGAGACAGTACCAAGCACCAGTAAAAAAAATAAATAAAAAATATGCCTACAGAGCACTGTCGCTTTGGATTCTAGATACATTCTAGAACTGTAAATTAATACGCATTTTTTGAACTGGAAGTTCTGAATGAGCTGTAAAGCAGTCAGTTTACAAGCAGCTGTAGCTTCCATCCCATAATTCTGTCCATGGTCTCATTGTCTCCCATTTTTGAAGATCATGTTTACTCATGGCCCATCAAACCACATTCATGTTGTGCAAAAGGCCACTCCAAGTTCCATGCAACACTTACACCCTCTTGTCTTTGTCCAGATTTCCCTTCAGGGTCCATTGCTGCACATATTTTGCTCTGAGGCACTGACAAAGCTGAATTTCTCCCATCAATTTGACAGAATACTCACATGGACAACCAACCTTGCAGACAAAATACTCAGGTACTAAATGGGCATTGTTTTCTCAAATTCAAAAAATTATCAGACTTTGGGGATTTAATTTTCTTTTTTTTTTAATTAGTAGGACATAAACTCTACCTTTAAACAAATTAATGTTAAAAATTCACCAGAATAGTGTAATTGAGGTTTTCTGTATCATTAAATGCAGCCTATCTTGAGCACTTATAAGAAAAATATACTTTTACTCATACAATTATGTGGTTTTTCCCCCAAGTATTTATAGTTCATATGAAGCAAGTACTTGTTATAAAGTGTTGCTATAGTGATAATTTAATTTGCATCTGCTGGAAGTTTGAACCACACCACAAATTACCTTCTGCTTTACTGATTTGGAAAGCAGCAGATAAGAGCGCTTTAGAAACACGTAATTTTGACAGCAATACTGTTTTTCACAAAAGAAGTGGGAGAGAGGTCACTGTAGTGCAAAATACAAAAGAGATTTAATAGGTTAATTTGACACTCTACATTACTATTTCCCAGTAGCAGAGCCACTACTGTGATTTAAGTTATTACTATATAGGTTGGTGACCCTCCTAAAAATGCATGATTTCTTTGTTCTCCACTTTCAAATTGTTTATTAACAACGAAATACAATTTTGTATCCATCAATGGAATTCACAAAATTTCTTAGTAATTTATACTTATTGCTACATGTTAGCATCTTTACAGAAATCCCTAGGAATATGTTAGGGCTAAAAATATATTAGTAAATTTACTTTTTACATGAAGTGTCCTTTACTTATACTTGGACATCGAATTTAGGCCCACATTGTCATCTTTGGCACAACTTTTGGATAGCTGCATTTGGAATTCAATCAAAATTTTAACACAAAAGTGTGTTTGCAAATACTTTGTTTACACTACAATGAGTACTTGACATTTCTTTTTAAGCAAGTCCACATTTTGAAATGTTTCCAGCTTCAATTATCATTGTCTCATAAAAGGTACATTATTCCAGGTTCTGCACTTATCCAAGGCAGTGTGGAATCTGCTGCAAACAACATACCAGCAAAAGGCACACATTTATACACTTTTACTTATGTTCTTGTACTCATTTGATAAAACAAATGCCAAGTACATCATGTAATTAAGAAAAGCTGTGTAAAGCTTTTTTATGGTTACCTATATCATGGGAAAGGTTTTGGGTATTTTTTGTAACAACTAAAGTTCTACTTTGCTTGAACTTGAAGCAGTACAAATTTTGATCAAGAAATCAAAACAGAACACACAACTTGCTGGCAGAATTCAGAAGTAACCTATAGCTTAGCTATTCCAAGTTAATCCAAGTGTTTTGGTGCTTGACAGAAGACTTGTGCAATTGTGCTTCAAGTAAGTTTATCCGACTTCTGAAAGTCAAAATGATCTAAAAGGGCCTAAGGAAATTTCCAGGAATAATTTAGATGAAAAACAAAAATTTCAGGTTAGGAAGCTTGTGATGGTATGAATTTCATAAAAACAGTTCCCTTAAATTCTTAGTTTGTTCATAAACTCACCAATTGCCATGAATATTTCATTTACGTTCATAGATGTTTTGGCAGACGTCTCCATGAACAATAAGCTGTTGTCATCTGCATAAGCTTGTGCTTCCTGAAAATTAAAATAAAAATGCATTACTTCACTTAAGAAAAAAAAAAATCACTCAACACGTTATACTCTGTATACTAAGGGACAATATACTTTGATACTAAGTGACAATTTCCATACCATTTTGCAAGAAAGTTCGTTGAAACACTCATGTGACAAATTGTTATTCATCAGCAATGAAGAAGCTACAATTCCATCAAGCAGTTATACATTTAGAAATGCAATCTTAAAAATCCTTACTCATCATAAAATAGTCACATCAAAAAAATATCAGGCAAAACTAAATAATAAATGAAAATATTTATTAAAAAACCAACCCTGATTCAGAACAATAGCTGTGACAGAAAGAATGAATAAACTCCAGAAAG